AAATGTATCAAGAAATCTAAGAACAACCCTAGTCTATGGAGTTAAATGCATAATTTAGACAGTCATTTGCGGCTAGCGCGAAATGTCAGACAGTTTTGTGCCCTTACGACCAAATTTATATGAAACTTTAAATGTTTTACACAATATAAACACGGCAGAGTTGAAAACGAAACATACACGATTTATTGATTAAGCGTATTTTATGGATATTGATAATTTTGGAGAATAAAAAAGCTTTACAAGTTTGTTAACTTTTACACAATGTACATTATTTATTTAATCGTGAATGTGGAGACACCGATATTAGTTTATTTAAAAAAGGAAATATATAATATGGTACAAAAGCTTTAAATCCGACAAGTATCTTACAAAACAAAATCTTTTTATTTTATTTTTTTAAGCACAAATTGCAACTTAATTGTACAATGGCGGACGCCACAGGCATTTTCTCCCAGTCTACCTTAGGTAGGTGGGACAATGTCTGAATAGGTAATAATAATAGTGAGGAGGTCCCTGCCTTTGGAGTCCTAACCACCTGTGTCTTGGTCCCTGTACCCGATGTCGGTAGTCTACTATTTTTGGTATTTTTACATGTTTTTTTATTTTCTTTTGTTATAAATAAAAATGTAATTAATATGTATATAACGTAATAAAGAGAATAATAATAATCGTAATGGTATAAGAGCCTCAACCAAAACTTAAGAGGCTCGCGTTAGATGGCTGGATCAAGGGTCTGTTGCAGAAGGCAGTTCTCCTTGACGCGGCCCGTATAGTGAGGAGGTTCCTGTCCTAACCACCGGTGTCTTGGTCCTTGTACCCGATGTCGGTGGTCTACTATTTTTAAATGTATTTTTTTGTAATATGTATATATAATGTTATAAAGAGAATGATAATAATAATATACCTCACACATCTCATACACGGCCGTCTGATCCCAAACTAGGCAGAGAGCCTGTGCTATGGTAACCAGACTGCTGATAAACATACATTTTTAAATATATACATATTATAAATAAATTATATTTAGACACAAACAAATGACCGAGCTCATCACACAAAGAAAGGTGCACCAAAAATTATTATTTTTTGGTTTGAAAAGAAAATAATAATAATTGAGGAGATGGACAGAAGCAGTGAGACAGATTTACAAACATACATACTTAAATACACATACATATATACTTGCTGACTTACATATATTTACTTGTCGAGTACATAATTATATAGATACGTATGTGATAAATCTGCTAGGGTGTCTAAAATGAGAGCTCGGACTTTTGTTTTAAATGAGAGGCGGCTGGGTGCTATAATGATTTAAAAAGGCAGAGCGTTCCAGAGGAAGACAGATTAAATTAGCATAGAAGAGTAGACACATGCGGAAGTATGAGTGGCGCATAACAGAAGTGGATTGTTTGAGAAACGAAGGGCTCTGTTGTGATATGAACATAGAAATTGAGGATGTCAGGTAGGAAGGGGAATTATGTGAGTTGAGTATGGTATAGAGCGTGGTAAGGGGATGCAGCTGACGGACAATAAGGGAATACGGATGATAGGGACAATAAGGGTCAGTACTCGTACTAGCATCGCTTTTATCTCGGAAGGAAGGAAGGAAGTATTTAAGCCGATAGAAGGCCCGTAGCATACCTGTGACTCTCTGGCTGACGCTGGTCACCTAGGTTTACCAACTGAGCTCGGAGTCGATAAATAGGCCTAAGTTCTTAACAGAGGGACTGAAGGGAATGACTACTGACTAATGGGTGGCAGTTTGTCTTGATCCTCCTGAAAGTCGTAAATGCGATTAGTTTGTTTTCCGATTTTTATACGTTCGAAGAATCAAATGCTCGATGGGTTCTCGGTCCGAAAAACGATATTCCGAATTTCAATACTTTGAATAAAATTGGGATTCTGATTCAGTTAGTATAATATTCAGTTACACATAAATATATGCAAAATCTATAAATAACGTTTGATGTAATTTAAAATCGTCTATTTTGTATTATATATATATATAAATATATATTATATTCCTATTTGTGTATTAATAAAAAAAATGTGTTTTCTTTTTTTCCTTATACCGGCGTCGCGTACCATCTACTGTTATTGAATTCTTTGGGTTAGGTTAGAACAGTGGCGTTTAAAGCGCGGTGGTAAGCCAGCGTAGCGAGCGTGCCGCGGCAGAGGCCACCGAACGCCTGATCCGCTTTATTGTTGGTGACTGGTCAAACTTAGATGTTCCGAATTATCATTAAGTCGGACTTTTTAGTATTCAATCTATTAAAACTCTTTATTTTGAGTATATTAATTATAAAAGTCAGGAATAATGACATTTAAAAAAAAATAGGATGAATCCGGATGAAATCGGAATTTTGAACCATTCGGAATAATGAAAATCGGTATTTCGAAAGTCGTGTTTGTCACTGACGGAATACAGTTTTTCGTGTTTCTGTAGTGTACCCATTCTAACACTTGCCTTTCTTAAATTAGTTACTAAGTACCTACCTACCTACTATTATGGAGCTAGCAATACATAATGAGAAAAGTTTTAGGAAGAGTGTACCTACTGTTCACTCTCAATTCTAGAAGATTGCAATCGTCACTAGAACACAAACAAATAACTCATCATACGAGTAGTTGTTTACCGTAACTTATTTTTGTAGGAAGTTTGTAGTCGGTATAAGGACAATAATTATTAATTTCAAAATATTTAGAAGCATAGTCGCCTGAACCTGTTCGAGATTGAGTTTAAAGAAGAAAAAAAAACAAGTGAAACTTAATATTATCATAAATTCGAAAGTGCGTTTGTTTGTGTAATCAATCAAAGTTCAAATCAATGTTCTTTTAATCAAGCTACAGTGTACCAAGGCTACATGTCGAATGTTCCATCACCGTATGGAAGGTAGATCTGACTGTTTACCAAGTTGTGTGATCGTCTGATAGATAATCTGTTTCTGCTAAAGACTCATTGAAGAATGCTCCTCCTTTTGTATCATCATCTTCATTAGCAATTAGCTCTGTTTATAATGGAATTGCACATTTCTGTTGACATCTTAGACTGCGTAAAGCTTGAAGCGTCACCTCGCCGTTCCTACTGGGCTGGCAAACAATAACATATTCCAATCTTTAAAATCCAAATTAAAATCTTAAATCCCAGATGCCGTAGCCAGAACTCGTGGCCAGGCCTTTACGTATTTTTAACTACGTTTATTGAAATTTCTCAATTTATCAAAAATGGTTAATGATTGATAGATGCATTCATTAACCATTTATAAAAACGATATTAATCCTCACCTTTACGCCAATGACAAAGTAATAATTACCAAAATTCATTTTCGTGAGAATTAGACACGCCCACTACTGTTTTAGTGAAACTCATTCTTAGTAGCGCCACTGTACTTCACTGTATAAATTTAAACGAGCCATCATAAATCACGTGGTTATCAGTGCCGAAAAACCATCGCAAATTCATTGATATCACTAGTATGTTGAAGAGCCTAAGCTAGCTTTAGAGAATTTGTTCAACACGACAAGTATTAGTTAACTGCAGTATTTTGTAGGGTGGATGTGTTTCTCAGTCTAGGGCCCCAATTCAGACTAGCTGATTAGGTATATCGCTAACGGTGCAATCGAATATTAGTCGTATAGTGTAAACGGGCCTTCTATAGATTTATAACCATAATGCCGTGCAAAAGAAAACGGCGAGGTGTTATCGAGGCTGTATTGACACTTTAATGCTATTGTTTGATTTAGAGGGCTCATTACAGGCGCGGGAAGAATGGCGTTCGTGAGCTAAAGGTGCGAACTAGTGCTATACAATCCCGGTGTATTATTCATAATTTCTTTATGGAAACGCTTTAGTGTGGCACCAACATTTGCAGTTTATTGTTATCAGAGTTTGTGTTATAGTAGTTCACATCATGGTAGCCATATAATACCTACTGGATTTTTAACAATAATCAATGCATTCAATGCTACACCATTAGCCACTCTTGGTGGTCGTTGTATATTCACCACGCAAAGAAACAAAAACAATATCTGGGGTCTAAAGATTGAAATATTCATCAACAGTCTTCCATAGTCCACTGCTGGACATAGGCGTCTCCTCTTGCATACACTAACTTTTTTTTTGCAAAATGTTTCAAAAATATCGGAATCTAAATTAAATCTTTTTTTGCGAATCTTTTATGATGATTTAATTCCAATTGACTATAAATACACCAGTATTCAATGCACGCGCTAAACGTGCAGATCTTAATCTTACAGCTATTATTGGATATAAAATAACCTATAGGGCCGTTAGACAGGTTTATGTATATATACATAAACCTAACGGCCCATCTCGTGGTACTCAGTTCGCGGTTACACTTTCATTCTTAATGCAAGAAGTAGTAAACAGCGGTGAAAGAGCGACATAGTACAGTGTTGTGAAGAAGGTGGCCAGTAGCTTCCAATTTTACTCAAGTCATCTTCGTTTTATGTTCTTGGGATAGGTAGGACCACAGTTACGAAACATTGTGTAATCATACAAATATACATACATACACTATATTATAAAGGCGTTTAATTGTAGGAGCCCAAAGGAGTAGGCGTTTAATTGTATAATCAATGACAATCTTTCAGCAAATCAATCTTCGTCTGAAGTTTTGACGTTACATAATTAGCCTAACTGTGCTCTTATGTAGCTGACTTGAAAGTGCGATTAGAGCTTAGTAAGACATGAGTAACAAAAAATAGCTAGAGGTGTCTCTAGTTCTATTAAGATTCAGCAATACTAAGTTAAGAAATAAAATTAATTATAAGCATAACTGTATACTTGTTTCTGCATGCTGCTTGCTACGTGGTACTACACAATATATAAAAAAAATAACAGATACTGACATCTGAAATATAAATATTCATACTGTAAGAAGCAAATAGGTATCGTACTTTGTAAGTTAGTAAATGTTTACAGTGGTACTAAACGGTTCGTGATTTTCCCTGTCGTTCTATAACCCCTTTCCAAGATGAGAAGATACGGTCAGAGCTCTCGAGAGCCTGCGTCCCGCGCGTGCCGGCCGGCCCGTAATAACAACAGAAAATTTTACGCTCCGGGACAATGCGATATAAAATTATCTGTTAGATCCAATAATCGCACGGAACAGTCGGGACTTAATGCTGGCCAATCATTAGCTACGAGGGATAACGGAGCCAACGGCCAGTGCGGCCCATTAACGTTGCAAGAGAACTGCGCTCGGCGATGCCCCGTGACCAAACGTCAATGCAACATCTACACTTCATGTGCGTTTGTTGCATCGAAACCGTCCCTGAGGCATCCACGAACAAAGGAATGACTTCATTCTACATTCAATACTTCTCCTTGGCGTACTTTGTTACTGTTCCAAGAATCAGTATTACCATCTTCGCAGTCCAATTATTCATTAGGTTCGTTTAATTATTGGCATACACGTTCCCACCGATTTCACCGCCGGTTTAAAGAGCACACGTACGCTGAATATAATAACTAGCATAAAGACGCGATTAAGTGCAAGCACTTATAAATACTTGTAATTATTTTATCGGGATCGACTAAAGAGGACGCGAAAGCAAGCGGCCGCACTATCATTAGCGCGAGGAAAGCGATCAGTTATTTACGCGGACGGCCAAACGGCGAGCCGTGTTGGTTTACGGCGGACAACCCCCGAAGGAGATGCATTCCTCCATTCCACTGGCTCACGACCTCACGACTGCACAACAATAATTACCCGTGGGTGTACGCCATTTTACTTCGCGAGCGATTATTATCAATCGTTGTGCTAGCGAACGGTCACCGTTTAGAACCCGATGTAATGGAACAAAATTATCGTAATGCTATAACGAGAGATGCAAAGCAGATTATTCGATAATTACATGAAATAAATCAAAACTCTCGGGAGTGCTAAAGTTTGTCCCTTTCTGTCGCATGCGGCTGATGGCGCTGCGTCTCGGTCGCATGCGCCCGCGGCTGCTTCGTTGTCGCTGCGTGTGCAGCTCGTGGGCCAGTATTGTTCGTTCTTCGCCGCCGGCTATCCATATCTCACCCCAACTCCTACCAGGATGTTGCTAATTTTCTATCATTGCGATCACAGCCAGCTTTATAGACGTTTAGATTTTGAAATTTAGGTGTCAGTACAGTATTTATTGTTAAAGGAAATGAGGTAATTTTGAATAATGCAACAAGATATAAGTTTTAAACTGGTTTACAGTAATACTACGTCACTTGTGCATTACCTTATACTTCTGGAGTTTATGCCTGCTTACCTTATTCCAAAAAGATATCTACAATATTAAGACATTAAATAATCGTCATCTATTACAGATATTTTTACATTTTCCTAAAAAAAAGGTTTCTTGCAAATTTATATCCCACCAAAATCATTGTCATGTAAAATGTTGCCATGACCATATGGCTCGCACTGTCAAAAAGTTATCAAATCAGAAGTGCCAAGTTTTAGATGTTTTTTGTGGTTTCTGTACTAATACTAGCTTACATGCCAAAGTTTAGTTGTCTAGGACTTCAGGAAGTAACCCTAAGAATTTTGATGATCATCAGTAAGTCAATGACATAATCGGGGTTTTTAGATATCAATAAAATCTAAAGTATTAGAGCAATGCCATTGAAACTTTATATGTTAATTAAGTCCAGTAGTGGACTTAATAAACTTAATAAACAATATATATTATATCCCGAAAATTTTGTTTATCTGGTGTAATCCAAACGCAAGTTATGAGGATTAAAAAAAGATGGTGAAGCACTTCGAGAAAGAATCTTGGCTCGTCTACCGTGCCCCCAGATAGAACATTCTTGCCGTGTCACTCAAACACAAACAGAATCTTTTACATAAGCACACGTGTGTAAGTTATATAAGAGATCATCTAGACATTGCACATACACAATGCTTATAATCATTTACTATTGATATTTCAGTTACAAAAAAATTCTTGTGGCACACACACACACGCACACATACACAAACACACAAATATAGAGGATGTAAGAAAATCCAAATCTCAGGAATGTTGTTTTAAGCTCTAGGTACTCAAACTTTATTAATGAATTTTGATCATGAAGTATCCAAAGGTCACTTCACTAACTAGGTAACTTGATAGTTAGCAAAGGCCAGAAGAAGCGAGTGATGAAGAGAAAGAGGCAAAGGCTAAAGGCTGTTGATTGTACAAGTATCTCCCGTTTCGTTATATGGATACTCTGTTACGTAATTCATGTAACAAAATGTATGATTACGTTACTGTTGGGAAATAATGTTACTGTTTAGTGACGTATTGCCATTGTTACAAACACCATTCTCAAAGTTTAAACGGGACCTAAAAGAAATCAAAAGAGTTCTAGGTGATGCTCTAGTGCTTACTTTCAAATGCCTTTAGGTGTTAGTAAATTGTGGGGAGGCAAGGTTAATGCTGAACTCATTACCGCGCCACGTAATGTGTTCCGTCATCGAGATTAACTCCTCAGTAATGGCACCCCTTCTTATAGGTACATTTCTACAACGTCACTATTACAATTGCGCGTAATTGAGGTTTGTCCGCTTTTAGTAAAATGGCCAATTTAGCTCTTAATGTTGTTTGTACTGTTGTTTTATTCTATGACTTAGAATCGTTTGTAAAGATCACGGTGGTCGTGGTTGTTTTCTCTCATAAACCTGTTGATTTTGGGAACAATTAACTCTTTAAAATATATTTTTACTTTATTTTGTAATGCTAAAGTAACAACGGTAATTAAGGCCCATAAACACGCATACAGTTGGATATAAATCTCAGGTGACCCTAATTACCAGTTATTATTACTATATCTTTCTGCGGTTAGTTTGCTTACCATGAATCTAAGAAATGATTGATATCCCAGTACTGCAAGGATTATTGCAAGCGCTAATTCATCATAGTAAGAGATTAGTGATATCGACTAATCAAGCAACCCAACTTTGATAAGTCGAAACGTCACACTTAAAATAGTTTCCAATATAATATGTAACCGTTGTCAAACGCGAATAACTTTAAGCAAATAACATTTCTTTTAATCCAATAACAATGAAGTACCTTTTTTTTTTTTTTTTTTTTTTTTTCGTGCGGAAATCCCCTCGGATACCACCTGTCGGTGGCATGTCGGACTCGAACCGACTAAAACCGCACGCCTTCGCCGGGTACTAATAGCCGGGGAACCAGGTATACCCTAGAAAGGAAGGCCCTGGTGCCCCGACATACCTCGGGTCATCTACAGACGAGTAGACGACCCCCGCCCCGTGTGGGAACCCCATGTTCCCTGTGCTCCCTGGAAGCGAGCGCGCTTCGCAACGCGCTCGCCGCCACCCCGGCCTGCTTCTGCTAGGGTGACAGATGGCCTCACCTGTCACCCCCAGGCCTGCGCTTATGGAGGACGGAGGTCGTTCTGCGACCTCTGGCGCCTGAGTGACCTGCGCTGCCTGGCCCGTGCCCGGGCCTGGCGGGCCGGGAGAGTTCTAAACCTCTCCCGGTCCCGCTCCGCCGTCTCCTTCGCGAGCATAACTTGCTCGCAGAAGGAGACGGCAGAGTTCCACGCACTCTCGCTCCGCACGATAGCCGCAATCAGGCTATCGAGCGAGAGAACTCCCACTCCGATGGCCGCCACGAGGTCTCGCCTCTGCTCAACCCACGCCGGGCACTCTGCCAGCGTGTGGAGAGCCGTGTCCACGGTCTGGCCATCGCAGTGGTGGCACTCAGGCGTTGGCTCCTTGCGGATCAGACACAGGTGATCTCCGAAACATCCCTTCCCAGTGATCACCTGCGTCAATCGGTATGAGAGGGTCCCGTGACGCCTCTCGAGCCAATCCTCCATAACGGGTCTTACCGCCGCAATGACGGCGTGCCCAGCGCTCGGTTGCCCGAGTCGTTCCCTCCACTCCCCTATGATGACCTGGCGGAGTTGGGATTTCCGGTCATCGATTTCTCGAATCTCGGGGCATCGACCCAACTCCTGCGCCTCCTTGCGCCACTGATACAGTGCCGCAAGGGCTCTCGCCTCCAGGTCCCACGGTGGAGTTCCGGCCAGGAGACTCGCTGCCTCAAAGGAGATCGTGCGGTACCCCCTTATGATCCTGATGGCCAGCATTCGCTGCGGTCGTCGCAGTATCGCGACGTTGCTGGCCTTCAGGGCCCCCGCCCATACCGGGCACCCGTAAAGGGCCATGGACCGCACAACCCCCGAGTAGAGTCTCCTGCAGGAGTCATCGGGTCCCTTCATGTTGGGCAGCAGCCGTGCCAACGCACGCGCTGCCCCAACCAACTTAGGGACCAGACCTCGGAAATGATATCCGAAGTCCCATCGGCCATCGAGTACGAGCCCCAGATACCTGATCGAGGGCTCGATGCCGATGCGAGTGCCTCCTACCGTGAGGCTAGATCCCTCAGGCGGCTTCCTCCGAAGCCCGTGGAAGAACAGGGCCTCGGACTTGTGCAGAGCCACCTCGAGATTCAGCCGCCGGATACGCTCAACGACTTGGGCAACCCCGGCCGTGGCCCTCAGGGTTGCCTCGTGGTGCGTCTTGCCGCGCGCCGTCACGAGTGTGTCGTCCGCGTAGCACACGACGGCGACACCATCCAAGAAGGCACCACGAAGCACCCAGTCGTAGCCGATGTTCCACAAGAGTGGCCCTAACACCGACCCCTGCGGAACACCGCACGACATTTCACGCCTACCGAGACCGGTCCTACTGGGGTAGACGACGGCTCTCTCCGACAAATATGCCCCGACTATGCGGCGGAGGTAGAGAGGCACTTCGTGATACACGAGCGCCTCCCTGATGCAGCTCCAGGGCATAGTGTTGAACGCGTTGGCGATGTCCAAGGACACCGCCAACACCACTTCACCCCGGGAGACTGCTTCCTCCGCCAGAGCCTTCACGCGCATGATCGCATCCACGGTGGAGCGCCCCTGACGGAAACCGTACTGGTTGTCCGCCAGATCCGGCCCAACCATCACGAGATGCTTGACGAGGCGCCTTGCAATCACTCTTTCAAAGAGCTTGCACACCTCGTCAAGCAACACTATGGGCCGGTAGGCGGACGGTGAGTCCGCCGGGCGCCCCTCCTTTCGGATGAGGACCAGTTTCCCCGTCCTCCACAATTTTGGAAACTGGCCCCGCTCGAGGCATGCGCTGAAGAACCCTCGCAGTCGGGGCTCGAGAGCCTCGTCGACTAAGGCCAGGACCCACGCTCGGCCAGGAATGCCATCGGGTCCCGGGGCGGTGTTTTTGGCTTTAAGCCGTAACACCGCCGCCCTTAGTTCCACCCCAGTGACCTCAGGCACGTCGTCGTCATCCACGTT